CGGTGAGCACTTCAAGCGGCATGCTTTGGGAGTGGCTCGTCACGCCGCAGGGCTTGTCTAATGCCCCGGCGGCATTCAACCGCCTAATGACGCAACTGTTCAGGCCATTGCGCGCCTTCGTACAAACGTACTTCGACGACATCTTCGTTCCTAGCCGTGCCGAGGGAGGCAAGACGGCCATGGAGATGCATCTGGGGCACCCCCGTCGAGTGTTGGACGTGATGCGAGCGAACAAGCTCTACACCAACATCGACAAGTGCGTCTTCGCGTCACCAGAGATTAAGGTTCTCGGTTGCTTCGTAAGCAACGTGGGCGCTCGGGCTGACCCAGACAAGGTCCAGACCATTGCAGCATGGTCAACGCCCCGATCCCAGAAGGATCTTCGAAAGTGGTTGGGCTTGGCCAACTACCTTCACAAGTACAGCGCAGGGTACGCGGGCTTCGCTAAGCCTTTTTCGGGCCTCCTTCAGAAGGACGTCGACTGGTGCTGGGAGCAAGGGCACCAGGATACCTTTGACAGCATCAAGGCCAGTCTTCAAGAGCTCCCTGTCCTGGCCTTGCCGGACGAGACGAAGCCGTTTAGCGTCGTCTGCGATGCCTCCGACTATGCCATCGGTTGTGCATGGACATGAACGAGCCATCTCATTCCAGTCCAGGCAGCTCAAAGCCGCCGAACGGAACTACACTGTCCACGACAAGGAGCTCCTGGCAATGAAGTATGCCCTTGTGAAGTTTCGGGTTCACCTTCTGGGCTCACGGCCCTTCGTGATCTACACAGACCACGCATCCTTGAGGACGGCGACCAATTCGCCTCACCTCTCCCAGCGGATGGCGAGGTGGCTGTCTTCTTTGCGGAGTACAGCTTCCGCGTCGAGTCCAAGCCGGGCAAGCTCAACGTGCTTGCGGACGCCCTCTCTCGGCGTCCAGACTACGAGTTGGGCCATATCACACGGGTGACAACGGATCTATATGATCGGATACGCATGGCGTATCGGGACGATGAGGCTGTCGCGCCTACCGTCAAGTTCCTAGCAGCAGAAACGGACGCAAAGTCCGACTGGCTTTCGTCGCGACAGCGTTCTCGGCTCCACCGATATGAGCTGAAGGATGGACTCCTCTATTATCGGATGGAGCCTAGTGAATCTCCACGGAAACGACAAGGACCTAAAGTTCGCCATCCTCGCGGAGGCGCACGATGCGCCCTCCACTGGCCACTTGGGCCGCGAGAAGACCTTCCTGTCGGTCTCTCAGGCCTTCTGGTGGACCCACATGTACAAGTGAGTCGTCCGATACGTGAAGACATGTGAAACATGTCAGCGGGTCAAACCCGCAGGGCACTCTTCGGCTCCACTACAGAGCCTGCCCGTACCGGCTGATTGTTGGAAGTCGATGAGTTTTGACTCCATCTTTGGGCTTCCCGCCGACGGACACGGCAACACCGGAATTCTGGTGCTCGTGTGTCGGCTGAGCAAGATGGTACATCTCGCTCCAGTGCCCGTTACCGCCACAGGCGAACAAACCGCGAGGTTGTTCGTCGATGGCGTGTTCCGCTATCACGGTCTCCCGGAGACGATTGTCTCGGACCGAGACCCGCGGTTCACGGCTGCGTTTTGGAAAACGCTGATTCCTTTATTGGGGACTTGTCTGCAGATGCCCACTGCGGACCATCCACAGACAGACGGCCAGACAGAGCGCGTCAATCGAGTGCTCGAGGACACTCTGCACAGTGTGTGCGCGGAAGCACCACGAACGTGATCGACACAGCTTCCAGCTGTTGCGTTTGCTCTCAACAACGCGGTGCACGCGTTAAGTGTATTTAAATCGGGGGGCTTAGCGCTATTAGACACGAGGAACCTTCCGCTAGACACTATCAGCTCTGTCGGCAGCAACAAGCTGAAGCACCATTTCATCGGACCATTTGCAGTCCTGGCCAGGCGACCTGCCTAAGTCAATGACGACGCACCCGACGTTCTATGTTGGACGTCCTAAGCGGTCCTTTGATCCGCAGGGGGTTGCTGACTCGCAGACCCGCTCCTCGAAGCTAGGGCCGGCCACTGACGTCGACGAGGGCGTCGGAGCAGGCACCCAAGCCTCGGTGGCACTCTTGGCCACTGCTGCCCGGCAATTGGAGTCACTTTGAATCCTCGCTGCAGATTCCACGACGTTCTCCAACATCTCAGCTAACTGTTGAGGGGTCCAGCGAGGCTGCGTTCTCAGTGGTCGCTCCCCGGTCGGCATTCATGTTTTCTTTTTCTTAATCCACTTCCACAGCGTAATCATGTTCGTGCTGTTCTTCAAATGCATATACAATTTGTTGTTGCAGAAACGTTTTTGGTCTGTTACCACAGGTTGCATCGCCCTGTGGACAGTTCACACGTGATCCAGTCACGCTAGTCTTCGTACGCCACTTGCGCCATCTGCAGCCGATTCTCGCTCTTCTTGGCTCGCAAATAGTCGTACAGCAGACCTCCACATGACAAGTTGGATGCTGGTTCCCAAGTTGGGTCTTCGTGGCCCATCCACTTGACTTTGAGCTCGCGTACAGCACGCTCCGTGCTCGTCGACATTGGTGTTCTGTCGTCGAGTATGGCCTCGACTTCATATTCACCAGCAACTTGATCTGGTTCCCAGCTGTCTTCAGGCAACGGCTCCTCGTCGAAATCGAGTCTTGCTTCATTAGTTGCGTCTAGTACCAACCGAGTTTTCGGTCGACTGTTGAATTCGTTGACAGCCTTGAATCTCGACACATGCACCACTGGGTAAAAGCGATACCCACTTCGGTCTGACAGTTCCAGCTCGTACGCAAACTCTTCCACCTTGCGCTCAATCCGAAAAGGTCCATGCCACCGATGAGCTAATTTCTTCGTCAAGCCCGGTTTGACGCGTTCCATGTACAACCACGCCCGGCTCCCAATCTCAAAAGGAGATGTCGGTGGGGTTCTTGCAGGATCATCTATCTCTTCCGAAGCTTCTCGAGGGTCCACCGAGTGTTCATTTCCACTTGGTTGAGGTACATCCTGTCGCCTCAGGGCATCATTATGCTCTTTAGCCCTTCGCTCCTTTTCTACAGCCTGATAATCTTTGGCCATAGTGAGGGCGATCTCATGTTGTCGATTGATCTCACGTCGCCACGCCAGTGCGTCGGACTGCTTACCGAGTCCTCTTTTGAGTGATGACGACATTTCCCGCAACGTCGACTGCGCATCCCAATCGTGAACGAGGTAGAACGGTGTTTCTTTCCTCGTAGTGTCCTGAGAGGTATATATAGCGAACACTAGCTTTTCGGCTATTTCGTCCCAGTCTTGTTGTAGAGGATCCTCCGCGTACACTCGTACGGAGCCCATCACCGACTTCACCGAGCGTTCCTGCTGTCCATTAGCCTGTGGCCGATAGCTCAAAGTTGCTCGTGATCTTGTCTGCATCATCTCTGCGAGCGCTTGAAAAACCTCACTCATGAAGCGTGGGTCACGGTCGTGCCTTATCAATGATGGGCTCCGAACCGTCGGTACACACATACTTCGAACACTTGAGCAACACCACTCAGTGCTGTTGTATCTGACATAGCCTTGGCAATGACGAATCCTGTGAACGAGCACTGAAATAGGAGCAACGCCGTGTTGCCCCTGCGAGATTTCGGTAGTGGGATCACAAAATTCATCGAGACGATCTGGAAAGGTCGTTCGGCTAGTACGTTGCCAGGCGAGTACCCACGAAGCTGCGGACGGCTTTTACTCGAGCTGCAATCTAAACATGACCTCACGTGCTTCTCCACGTCAGCGTACAAGCCGATATAATAATAATCGGACCTAACACGATGGAACGTTCTAGCCACACCTTGATGTCCACCTTCCAGCGAGTCGTGACAGTTCTGCAAGACCTCTTGAATCATCGTTGTCGGTACCACCAGCCGCAACTTGGTCTTTTCTTGCCAACCGTGGTCGTACTGACAATTCAATTCAAGATAGTGAAGCACGCCGTCTTCTGATAACACGAACCGGTCAGCATACTTCCAGGCATCTCGAGCTTAACAATGTAGTCATTAGTACCCAAGTCAATTAGTACCCGACTGAGCCCAGCCGATGCCCGACTCGACCCAACTGGTGCCCGACTCGACCCAACTGGTGCCCGACTCGACCCAACTGGTGCCCGACTCGACCCAGCTGGTGCCCGACTGATAACCGATTGGAAAAGTACGTATTGAAGCCTCGCAGCCCATGGGTCTTGTTTCCTGGCGTAGTCGCTTTCCTTGGCCTCGTGACTTGTATGCGCTAATATGCTTCTGAGAATAGCTACCCCACTCCGGCGGAATCAGCGATGCACTCGAGTTTGTTGATTGTATCTTCAAATTCCTGTCCAGAACTGTATTGTTGGTCCGAATACTAGAAAGAAAAATGAATGACGCGTAAATATCTGACCACCTTCAAATGAGCTGTCCGATGGCAAAACCTACATATCTGGTAGCTGTTCCTTTAATACTCCTTGAAATTGGCATCGAACTGTTCCCAGGACTCAACGCAAGTGCATGTGGGAGCCGGGCTCAGCACAGTTCGGCTAGACTCGTTACCGAAGCTGCTTGACTGCTCAGAAGGCAATGGATTGGTCCTAGCACCCATTGAAACGTCTCTTTGCTCATGAAAGACTCTCACTTCGCGAGAGTCCACGTCGCTCTAATCACGCTGGTTGCTTTGGTTATTCGAGGCACTCGACTCGTACCGCTTCCTCCCTATCTGGAGCCGGGGGTCCATTCGCCACGATTGACGCCTCGCGCTTGACACGCGTTGAGCTATGTACGAATTGTTATGCATGGAGAGAAAGGATATATGTGTATACGTTATCCGGATGAAACATAGGGCTAGGTAGCATTTCATCGATGAAAATGCTTATGTAAATCGGCGCTAATACACAAAATCGGGCGACTGCAAAATTTCGGAAACTTGATTATCTGTAAAGTGTACTACTGTAATAGTACTACAAATTGCCAAGCAAGCGCGGTTCAATTCTTAGTTTGGTGACAAGAGCGGCTTATAGCCGCTGCGGCGGTGCTTGTACACGATCACCACAGCAATGCCAATCGCTACCGCTGCGAGTGCAACAAATTTGACTACGAAGCCGAAGTTGTTGGTCGCGCTTTCGTGCAACGTCACTTTGGTGCTGAACTCGCTCCAGCTGTCCAGGCACTTGGTGGTGGCCACCTTATTGAACCATTTAGCCGACGGACGAGGAATGCGAGCTAGATCGGTGGTCCTCGGCTCATAGAAATCCGGGGATCCTGTCTGCTCCGTGAAATTGACATAATACAAACCAAAGCGCGGGTTGAAGGTGCCCCACTCGTAGTTGTCGAGGAACGACCACGCTGTGTAGCCGACGACGGGGATCTTTTCCTCCACGACTGCCTTGTACACCTGCTCGACGAACGACTTAAAGTACCACAATTGGTCGTAATTGTCCACGTCATCGTTTCCACACCATCCATTCTCCGTTAGTAGGATGTCGACTGTGGTGTCTTGCATGTGCAGATAGCGCATCGTATCGAGGTATCCCGGCGGGTAACCGGTGAACATTTTGCAGTAGCTGTTGCCGAAGCGGTCCGTAACACCGGCACGCGTGCCAGGCATGACATGGCTTTCATCCACTCCTTTATCCGCCTGGTAGCCAGGCAGAAGGGTCGAGCAGGGTGTGTTTGAACGGTCCGAGTCGCAATCTGTGACGGCACGCGAGCCATAGTGGTTCATCATGAAGATGTCGTACGAGCCCGTGAGCAGAGCAGACTCCTCTGCCGTGAACTTAGGAAGACGGTCACCAGCGTGCTCACGCATGACGGCCGGGTAGTCGCCGTTCACGATGGGGTTCAGGAACCAGCCGAAATCGAAGTCGAACGCGCGCTTGGCAGCAGCAACATTGCGCTTATTGTTCGGGTCCAAGGGGTAGTACCAGTTGGACACTAGCACAATACCGATGCGAGCGTTTTCGCCGATAACATTGCTAGTCTTGAGTTCGCGGAACTTCTGCACGGCTTTACCGTGGGACAGCAGTACGTTCCGGGAGGCTGCGTACGCCTGCGTGTCCGAACCAGAGTACCCAGGAGCATGCCAGCCGAGAGCGTAGCCTAGATCAACGAAAGACCAAGGCTCATTGAACGTCGTCCAGAGCTGAACCTTGCTGCCGTACTCGTTGAAAAGCAGAGTCGAGTACTCGAGAAAGTGGTCGACGATCTCCGGGTTGAGCCAGCCCTTGGGCTCCAACTGCGTTTGCAATTCGCTGGGCAGGTCCCAGTGGTAGATGGTCAGGATCGGTACGATGTTGTTAGCGTTTAACTCGTCGATGAGGCTGTGGTACCTTCAGCGTTGGGCTTCATGCGACGTGTGACGGGGTCCCAGTTCATGGCACGCGACCACGAAATGGAAAAGCGGAAGGACTCGAGGCCAGTCTCGACCATAAGCTTTACGTCGTCCTTGTAGCGGTGGTAGAAGTCGTCGGCCACGTTGGCACATTTCATACCGGGTTTTTCACGGCAGAAATCGTCCCAGATACTGGAAGTGCAGCCGCCTTCCTTGACAGCCCCCTCCACCTGGTACGAAGCGGTAGCCGAGCCAAACATGAACTTCTCGGGGAAGCAGCGAGGCTCTGATGCCGACGCCACCGACGACCCGAATAGAGCCGCCATGGCGACGGGCAGCAGCTGGCGGAGGAAGCGCATGGTCAACGTGCGGTCACGGGGTCCCTTGTGCGCACAAGCCGGCAAATGGCGGAATGATTTCGTCACTGCTGGAATAAATGGCAAGAAGATTGCAAGGCTGAAGACCACCAAGCTTTGATGCGCTTGAAGACCGAGGCTGAAGTTCATCCACACGAAAAACATGTCGTCAGCTGTTTTCGTTTAGTGTTGGCCAAATGTGTATTGCGACGTCGAGTGAAGAGGCCAAACCATTCAACACAAGGTGCAAGGTGACATTCCTTTGGTAACGCAACATTGCTTTCATGCAAGACATCATTGCTTGCAACTCGCAAGTTACAAGTCGTCACTGATCTCACGGAGTGGGTCAGGAGTCCTAAGGACAGTGAGTTCCAATATGAGTTCCAATACTGGTCTCAGGCAGGCTTAAGACTACCAGGCCACTACTATACATGCATATTGCGCGCTCCACCCTCCCTCATCGGGATAGCATACCACCACGAATCAAAAGCGCCTCCGCGCCAACTTGCCGGTCGAGTCTCGATCCCGAGAAGCTCAGCTCGCAAAAGACATGACATGTTTAGGCGACGGTCTTAAAGTCGGCAAGCGCAGCAATTGCGACTCATCCAATTGACCAGCATTGCCAACACGGATAAAATTTTACTCTGTGGCAGCACCAAGGCACGTGCAGAACATGTATCATCATGTAGTGTGGACGGCGTTTTTTCGATACAGTTTTGAACCTGTCCAATCGCATAATACTATTTCGCAGTCCTTGTCTTTTTTCTCCATGTTCGCAACGACACCACTGTAATTAGGTTGTGTAAAGTGGCTGTGTAGTAGACCATGCAGCTGCTGGAAGCGTGGGCGACAGCTCGACTGGAAGCGCTGGGAGTGGACGGCGTGTTCGCTCCTTATATAGTGGGAATGTTGCCTTCCCACGGAGGTGATGACGACAACCTGGAAGACGCGAAGTTCAACATCCACCAAGTGCTCATGGGCTGGCTGTCACCGGAAGACGAGGTGCGTTGGCTCGCTATAGTGCTTGATTATGCATCATAAACGTCTAACTAGGCTCACTCTATATGCAGGAGCGCGCGCAGGAGTTTGTGGACGAGCTAGCCAAGCTGGCAGACAACCCGGCCCAGCTTACAGACGCCGCGATGGCTCTTGCAGCACAGAGCAACGGGAACACGAGCATTGAAGATGATATCAACAAGATATTGGCGCAGGATGAGGAGCTTAAAGCCTCAGCACCGACTTTTGTGCCCCGCAAGTTTCTGTCGCCTGTGGTGGCCGAATTCCATCCGACTAGCAGCCCCGAGGGGTCGTTTGGGGGCAGTTTTGACCAGCTTCCAGCGGCGTCATCGCCTCCTGTTCCGCTTTCTCACTTGAACAGTAGTGAAAGCTACGAAGAGGATGAGACGGCCAATGGAGCGGAGGTGGAGGAGGAAGAAGAAGAAGACAGCGCAGCGATGCAGGACGAAGACAGTTTCTTCTGGTCCGTGGCCTACGAGGTACAGTGGACGACATGGACGTCGCTGCTTTTTCGCTGAGATCGAGACATCGCGTTCCTCTTTCTTTTTTTGCTCGTTCTAAGAGTAGTTTAGAGTGTTGCTAAGTGTCGTGTTCTGATGCTGGACAGTTGGTGAGCCATTTGCAACTCAAGTTCCCGGATATCGACCCGAATCGGCTGTGCGACTTGTTGCGTCTGGTTGGACTGGATGTGGACAAGGCTCACGCGGTGCTGAAGGCCACGATCGAGCGCGAATCCATTGGACCGGGACAGGTGTGCCGTCACTACCTCCAGGGAGAATGCCGTCGCGCGGACTGCATGGTGCGTCTGTCTATTTGCAAGATGAGACTTGGACAATGCCGTGGAGATGCTCACAAGCGTTCGGACTCGTCTCTTGTTGCGGGCTCACGTTTGTGGCTGTAGTTCCTACACGACACGGACGCGATTACGTGCCGCTTCTGGCTTCGCGGCACCTGTTTGCAAGCGGATCACTGCGTCTTCGCACACGACTTTTGTGATTATTACTCGATGGACGTCAACGCATTGGGCCAGCGCGACTACGACAGCGAAGACGAGATGGACCAGAACAGCGCACCGCTAGACATTCAAGCCGAAGACATGTTCCCGTCTCTTCAGAGCGCTGCGGCAGGAACTCCAACTCCACAGCCGCCGCTACCTCAAGGCAGCACTAGTCCTTTATTGACAGGAACAGCCCCTAAGTCGTACCCGTCGACGGATGATGCTGTGGCCAATCTGACCTTAAACTTTGCTCGTGCTGTGGCACTGCAACCAGCAGCCACTGCCCCCATGGGAAACGGCAGCTACGGGATGGAATCGCATCGACGGATGCCACCTCCGCCTCCAACACACCGTCCTTTGTACCGCAAGATTGGGAGCAGCGATGGTCCCAAGTGGGTGTCAACGGGTCAGAGCGTGGCGACACAGTATCTGGAATTGCGTGAACAGGCCTATGAGATGGCGTGTGCTCGGAATAAGTGCTTCATGGGCGCTACACAGGCATATCGCAAGTACGAACTGTTGTCTCTCTCGTACGGTAAGAAAGAATGCTGGTCTCACATTGGTATGGTGTTTTCTGTGATGGTAGTGGTAACAAGGCGCTGGCTAAGGGACTGTCAAAGCAAGGACACGAATACAACGCCAAGATGAAAAACTTCCACTTCCTGGCGGCGTCCGAGATATTCGAGTCGCGTAACCCGCCCAACCAATTGTACATGGATCGAATGATGGATCTACACGGACTGCATGTAGCAGAAGCCGTAGAGTTCCTTGCACAGATGCTTCCAAAGCTGGCAGATGAAGGCGTGGACAGCATTTACTTGGTCACAGGCTCAGGACACCATTCGAAGGGCCCGGACGGCAATGCGCGTCTGTTACCAGCGGTTGAACGATTCCTGGCTGGTGAAGGATATCAGTACACACCTGTAGCTGACGGCTCAGGATTTGTGGGGATGTTGCTTGTAGACTTGCGGTGGTAGTCAAACTGTAACATCATGCAAGCAAGAAAACATGAGTGAACAGTGTTCTGTGTTGCTTCTTTTAATAACAACAGGATAGACGGTGTCTTGACTCAAGACGCCGCCTTGACTCTTGATGTCAGTGCTGTGTATTACCGCATACAAGAAGTAGCAGCTTTTCAAAAGTCTCCAGCAACCTGCTCTGCCTTCTGTCTGCAGATCTCAAGCGGCAGCTACAAGTAGAAACGTCCACTTAGTTCTCGCGTCCGTAGTCATGCATTTCCTTGACGTCCTGGTGCACCACGTGCTTGAATCCTTCGGGTTTGAAGACGAATACGTTGCAGAAGCCACCACTGTAGGCGTCACGGTGTGTAGCGTGGTAGATGGCGCGCTTGCCGAGCTCCACAGCTTCGTCGTCCGTGAGGTCCCAGCGCCAGTTGGTGTCCAGAACACCATACGCGTAGGTGGATCCCGAACCCACACTGAACTTGGGCACGTCCTTACTGGCAGGAATGCGAGATCCCTCGTCGTCCACGTAGTAGAGCACCGGTTCACCATTGTCATAGCCCATCATCATCATGCCCAGCGACATTCCGTAGCGCTTGTAGTAATTGCACGTGTTGGCGATGAGTTTCGAGGCTGCACGCACAGAGATGCGGTGACGGTTGCGTAGCTCGTACATGCGGCACTGTACAGCCAGGTTACGCTGCCAGAATTGACAGTCAGCGGCGCCACCAGCCAGCGTGGCCAGGATGTACTCATTAATGGGGTTCACCTTCTTAACTTGCTGAGACGCAATGAACGGACCCATTGTGGAACGCGAGTCCACAGCCACGACGATTCCACCGTTGTAGATGAATGCGAGTGTGGTCGTTCCCTTGGCGAACTTCAGCGATTGCTCGTTATCCTCCGTGTATTTGACCTTGAAGTGTTCGCGAGAGTAGGCGGCGGGGTCGGCCACGGGTGGCAACATGAAACCCGCGGCCAGTGCGTCAGTCGCGTTTGGAGTCAGGTCGTCCATAGTCGCCATGTGCATGTTCGGCATGGCGCCACCATAGTTAATGGAGGCACCGCGGCTGCCGGCGCGCAGGAAGTTGAGGTTCACGACGGGAGCGCTCATATCGAGAAGGTCTTGAAGGGGGTTTAACTGTCGAGAAGGATGGATATCTTAAAAGGGAGAGATCCAAATCGAGGTAATGTAAAGCGCCGCATAAAGAGGGATAGTATCATGTAAGGAAGAATGATTAGAGCGACGTTCGTGCGACATCCAACTTTTGAACAAAAGGCAACAGCTCATGCTCGCGCACCTGGGTGGATACTTGCGACAACGGGAGGGCATGTCGACGTCAGCACGGCTGCGTTCGGCATGCAGCGTAGAGTTCCGCTGCGAATATGATGCGAAGTCCTGCAATATGAACTGCCACCCACTCAGACCTTTTGCTCACTTACTATATAAAACAACTCGATTATAATTTAAATGGTATAGGCTGCCGAAGTTCTCGGCATAAAGCTAATAGTTTCAGGGTTTTACATCTGCAGATGGTCGATGTGGAACCGGATCATATCGTCTAACACGCTCGGTTGCATTGTCTGAAGCTCATTAACGAAGCTATCGGTTGGTAATACCTCCAAGCTCGCCGCATCATCGACCTTAACGAACTCATCCAAGATGGATACGAGCTCGTCAAGTTGCTCTGGGTCCATAGCGATATCCAATGGGGTCATTGGAGACGCGCCAGGTGACGCGCAAGAAGAGCTCGGTGCCGGGCTACAAATAGCCACATCTATCGTTGACACGCTCGAGGCGGGAGATGCTGGTACTCGCATCTGAATCATCATTGGGTTCTGCGCCAAACCAGGCTGCAACAACTCATCCGAGCCCGTCGGACTGTCGTATGACTGGTCCAGGACCGGCAACAGCGTCATGTTGGCGGCGATGAGCTTGGTCTTCCGCGCATCTAGCTCCGGGTGGTGGCCTTTAATATGGCGGTTGAGGTTGCCGGCCGTACTGAAGGTCTTTCCACAGCCAGGCGATGAGCACACGTGCACAGGGCTACCCAGGTGAAACTTCATGTGCTTGGAGAGCTTGTTCTCGCTTCGGAACGTGCAGATGCAGCCGGCCACGGGGCATTCGAGCGGTCTGACTGGTCCGTGCAGGCGCTTGTGGCGGGACAAGTTGCCAGGAGTGCTGAAGCGGCGGCCACAAGTGCGCACCGGGCAAATGTGGCGCTTTTCACCCGCGTGCTTCTTCAGGTGCTCAGCTAGCGAAAAGCTGTCGCCAAGTGATCGCTCGCAGTATGGTACCGAGCACCGGAATACGATCTGCCGGGCCAACGCTGTGTCTATGTTGTCTGCAAGCATTGTCAGGTGGTCTGCCGGTTTGCGCTGCGTGGCGAAATCCGAAATGGGGACTCTGTATTTGCAGCCGCTGACAGCTCGCTGAGATGGGGCGCGTGCTGGCAAGGTCTCAGAAAACGGCCAGTGCCGTGGTCTCACAGCCGGCATCTGTTCCTTTCTAGGGCATTGATCGTCGCTCCCGTGTTAAGGCGTTAAGGCGGTCCCGATATTGTATCACAGCCACAGGTGGCTCTGATGTAACCACACCTGAGATTTGCGTGCTGTCGGTGTCTACCATGTTCCGCACCTGCAAAGCCTAAGAGCAACGATACATGTAATTCGATTCGGCGTAGCGATGCGGGTGCGACACCCTGTGCCAGTACACAGCGAGTGCATGATATTTCGTCGGAGAATCCACGTCTGTACTGTGAATTACAGTCTGTGATTCGCTCTAATTGCTCTAAAACAATACTACGTACATGTAGTACTTGTTTTTTATCGACTGTTATAGCTTAACAGATTATTGGTCAAACAACAATTAAAAGTGCGTTCCAACCACGCGACTCGCTTCGCTCTGGAGTCTGTGATACTGTACTCGGCTTGTGGCTGGGCCCGTCTCCGCAAATACTACGCGGTCGTTGACCGGCACACCTTTGGTATAGTTGATAATTTATATCAGTATTAATTAGAACAATTCGAATGAGATGGAGTTTTTAGTGCGCTGGGCGTCAGCTTCAGGTACAATGTAATACATCTGTGCCAAATCACCGCCATGCAACCATCGAGGCAACCAAGTTGGTGGTGTACTGTACAGTAAAGTCAACTCGCCTGGTCTTAGTATTGAGCCGGGGTCATTGGTTCGTCACAAAAAGTTGTCATTATATACGAAATCGATACAGTACATGTACTGTAATCGGATCGCTTCGCCACAAATAATCATTTGCGGCGTCCATTGCGGTTTAACCGCGCGGCCCGCCTCAGAAGTCCTGAGTCAGTACGGCAAGACACGCATCGCACATGACTTATATGTGTCGAGCAAGTGAGCAAGTTGAGGCAGACTGCAATTGCCCTAGTCAGAGAGGTGTGTAACACACCGCTACACTGTGCTGTCTCATGAAGTTATTCCCAGATTGCTTCAATATACATGTAACATGTATTGAAGCACGTGTATGAGCCGGGCGCCGAGCTCTTCTTGAAAAAGAAGTTCTTCCGCCCTGAGGAATGACTAGAAAAATGATCCCAAAATACAGTAGATAGTCGTTAGGTACTCAAAAGGAGAACAAAATTGGTTTGTGGGTTTGTTTTTAAACATCTTTGAAGAGTTTTGATTTCAAACGACCTCAACCTCTTCGTGTCGCGGTCTCCTTCTCTCGTCGGGGTCGTGTATCTTATGTAAGCCGGCGACGTAGGAACTTAGACGTAAAAGTAAAGCAAATGTATTAACTTGTTTCTTGTTTCTGTTTCTTGAGCACTTCTGTTGAAAGAAGGAAAATCACGACTGAGAGCTTCCCTACCTGCTCTCCTACCTACGAAGGTATCTCCTAATAGCCCCCATCCGGACCGACATCACTCTCAACTTCACTATCCTCCCACTGTCTGGATTCCTTGGTTCCACGTCAGACTTGGAACGAGGCCGTCTGAGTAGTAGAGTCGGGATAGTCAGACGTGGCACCAAGCTTCTGCAGTGCACTAAACTGTCGGAAACACTCGTCCAGAATAGCCAGCCCTTCTGCCAGCCGTAGACCGTGACAATTCTCCCCGACTGACGCTCGGAGTCCTCGCCGAGCCTCGTTCCCTTCAGCATGTCCGACGGTAGTGGTGGTCGTCGAATCCGGAACGACAGGTGTCGTTCCAATCGAAGCTCCGCTTGAATCTCTTTCCACAGACGACGTTCCACTTCTCGGACTGCCACGCAAAAGGTCGAGGCTAGCCTTCTCTCTCCCTTCCCGGCGCTCTTTCTTATTCCCGAGCTTAGTCCACCCTTGTTGAGCCGTTGAAATGCCAGATCGATCGACTCCACCTGCTTGCGAGGCCCAATAATACCTCGTAGCGTGACTATAGCAACCCAGCGTCAGCACCGACGCGTTCCAATAGAGACAAGCGATCGAGAATTCCAGCACCACGTCAACTAGTAACGAAACAAATGCGACGCCCATCCATCCGCATAGTACGCCCTCCACGCCCTCATACAGCACGCGTGGCAAGTAGAACATGAGAGACATAAGCAGTTGCATCACGAGATAGACACCAGTTAGATATTCGCCCACACGATCAATCGAGGCAACCACAGCTTCAGCCATAGCCCTAAAGTAACGACAGGAAGACGTCCAGATAAGCTGCACCACATCAGGAACGAAGAGGCAGAACGAGTGATGCCACGCCTCGCACCACTTAAGGCACAATCGTCCAAATATTCCAAATCGAGATTCGTAGTTCCGGAGTACCGCCATAGGAACGAGGAACAACAACGTGACCAAAATACACGCGTATTCCCTGGGAGGCAGTGCCTTCGCGTTCGCGCCTCGCACAGTAGTGACAAATCTGTCACTACAAGTGTACCAAAAGAAACAGATAGTAGTACAGCAATCCAGCACACTAGCACCAAATGCCCATCCCACGTTCCGTAAAGGAGTCTTGACAACCCACGCCACGATGCCAGCCACAGCACAGCCCAACATCGCTCCAGTCTCCATCTCTGGGAACTTAACAGCCGGCCACACCACATCCTTCCAGTGAAACCACTTCTCCAGCACTTCCGCCATTCTCAAATGACGCCGCTTAAGACTGAGAGATCCAGCCAGTGTTGTCCGTTAGCATCCTCGTCCCAACCTTGTCTCGCTCCAGATAATCTCGTCTCGTAACAACTCTTCCAAATCGAAACCCAAAGTATCCATGCTCATCTCGTTCTCATATGTAAAATGCAGCAATACAACCCAGTATCTTGAGATTCTCTCGTTCTCAAATACTGATTAGAGTGAAGTCATCACACTCCACTCGTTCCAACCTGTCAAGTGACCAGCTAGAACAACACATCCGCGTCGTCCACGTCAGCGTTGGCTTCGACCAACCTGGCGCTCCGACGTAACTCCGGCAAACCCTTCTTCTTACGATCTGCATCTTCAAAGGTAGTGATTAACGTTCCGAACTCCGGAGCTAGAGCAGCTCGTGACAGCCAAAACGTCTCGTAGGTAGCTGTCAGTACCAGGTACTGAAGCTCACTCTTTTCCATTTTCTTCGCAAGAATATCCACAATAGGCGACGAGACACCAGCAAAAGCAGTCTCTTCACCTCCAATAGACAAACGTTCCACAAAACTCGATGGAGGTAGATCATCCTCCTGCAATGGTCCTGGTTCCGTACGCATGTCGCTTCCAGTCACGTTCTCTGTTGTCACGTTCTCATCAGTCACGTTCTCGGTAGTCACGTTCTCATCAGTTACGTTCTCGGTAGTCACGTTCTCGGTCGAACCTTCAGGAATATCATCAGCGAACGGTCGACTCCAACGACCACGGAAGCGCTTCAACCGATTCACATTCACCGTAACAACCTTGTCAGGATGTCTGGGTATCGCAATCTTGTAGGCGTTCTCCCCGACTTGGCCTACAATACGGTACGGACCGTGCCAAGAGAACGCCAGCTTCTTCGTCTTGTTTTCACCGACTTTCGCTCTGAAATACTGATAGACCCAAACGGGATCCCCCACTTCATATGTGACCTTGACTTGCTTACCCAAACGCTGCTCGTGCCGATCTTGAGCCTTTAGTAGCTGTCGTTCCACTAGACGCCTTGAGTCACGTAACGACAAGTACAACTTCCTCCTGTACGCAGCAACCTCGTTGCTTTTCCAGTCTTTTCCAGTGTTGAGAAAGGCTAAGTCGATAGGTAGAACCGGGTCACGACCATATAAACTGAAGAAAGGAGTGTCTCCCAGACCCTCGTGATACGCAGTCCGGTATGCCAACAAGATCCGAGGCAAATAAATGTCCCAATCGGTCTGGGTCTCATTCACACACATCTTAAGCATCCCCAACAATGTTCCGTTAAATCGCTCCACTAGTCCTTGAGTTTGAGGATGATAGGCCGCTCCAAACAACTTCTTGATCCCTAGTGTCTGATATAGTGATCGTGCCAAATCAGACGTGAAGTTCGTTCCTCGGTCACTAAGCAATCGTTCTGGAACGCCATGTCTACAAATTACACCCTCGATCATAGCATCGACGAAAGAGATCGTGTCCAGTGACGCAACCGCGAAAGCTTCAGCCCATCTCGTAGAGTAGTCCACAAACACCAAGATATACTTATTTCCACGCGGTGTGACAACCAGTGGACCAACAGCGTCCACTACTAGCAACGAGAACGGTCCCGATAGTTCCTGGACAGGCATTCTTTGCATAAGACCAGCCCGCCAAGGCCTTCGACCTTTACCACCACTGCAAATAGAACACTCTTTCACGTATTCACCCACGTCCTTTCGCCAACCGTGCCAGTAAGCATGGCGTCTCACCTTATCCAACGTTTTAGTCTTTCCCAAATGAGCCGAGATAATATCAGCGTGACAATAGTGCAAAACGGTCTCGATAAACGGTAATGGAACGACCGGAACGGTCACGGTCCGAGCAGGACCGGCACGAACCCCCAAATGCACACGGCGCATGAGGACCTCGTTCTTCATCAAATGATGCGATGACATCTTCAGGACTGTCACTCTTAGTTGCGGATCCAAAGCAAGAGCACCGTCTTTCAGGAACGCCTTCATAGCACGCATCCACGGTACTCGTTCCTGTTCCTCCATGAACTTACCATAGTCCAACCCAAAGACATCGACAGCAGACGGTAGTGTAGATGGAGCACCCGCTTGCAGTTCTTCTTCCTGCTCTTCCTGGGTGAGTTCTCCACTAGAGACAACAACGTCTGTTGTCTCCCCGACTGGAACTGAACCGTCCGTCTCGTTCCAGTTCTCGGTCTGCTCCACAAGGATCGTTCCATTCTTGTCCGGAGGATCGTTCCGATCCTCGTTCAAGAGATCCTTCATCGAAATGGCACTAATAATCCCCTTGTCAGGACGATGATGAAGTCTCGATAGTCCATCCGCATGACCCATTGACGTCCCAGGTTTGTGATACACTTTAAACCTCAGCTGCGATAGTTCCGCGGCCCATCGTGCCAAT